GAAGGAAGGAGGGAAGAAAGGGGGGACGGAAGAAAAGGGGAAGGAAGGAGGGGGAAGGAAGGAAGGGGAAGGAAGGAAGGAGGGAAGAAAGGGGGGAAGGAAGGAAGGAAGGAAGGAAGGAAGGAAGGAAGGAAGGAAGGAAGGAAGGGAGGGAGGGAGGGAGGGAAATAGTTGTTACTGCATTCCACAAAAATAATGTTATTCAATTCTCTCTGGACACTGTTGCCAGATGAGGAATCTGGGCCCTAGGTGGATTTATAGCAGTCTGGAGTTGGGGGAAGAGCACATTCCAGGCAGGAGGCAGCTGCCTTACAGAGTCACTCAGAAGCCATTTCCCTGGAACAGACCTTTGTTCTTTGCTGAGAACATGGCCCACTTTCTTTGGCTATTTGGTTCTTGTTTAGTTCATTTCTCTAAGCTGGGAGCACCAAGCATCAGGAAGCTGATAAACATAGCCAGTGTCACAGACACACAGCGCATTTACTTGGAGGATCTCAGAGGCTGCTGGCCCATGCTCTTATCCTATAGGGCCAGACCCCACAGCTCGACAGGGCCACCAGGATAACTACCAGAGGGTGGGAGGGAGAATCTCCTCTGGGTTGATTTAGTTATCCCCAATTTTTTGACATGTTCAAAAATTTTTAATGGCCTTTTATCAAACCAATTCAGGCCTGAGTCTATCCTTCCAAAGTGCTAGGATTACAGGCTTGAGCCACCACACCCAGTCAGAAAAGGGTAATCTTTGAAAATTTAATACACCCAACAAGGCCAGGCGCAGTGGCTCACGCTTGTAATCCCCATAATCCCAGCACTTTGGGATGCCAAGGTGGGTGGATCACTTGGGGCCGGGAGTTCAAGACTAGCCTGCGCAACATGGCGAAACTCTGTCTCTACTAAAAATACAAAAATTAGCCAGGCCTGGTGGCACGCACTTGTAATCGCAGCTACTTGGGAGGCTGAGGCAGAAGAATCACTTGAACCTGGGAGGTGGAGGTTGCAGGGAGCCAAGATCATGCCACTGCAGTCCAGCTTGGGTGACAGAGTGAGAGTGAGACTGTTAGAGACACAAGACCCATGACACTTGGTGCCTGGCTTATGGAACCTTTGGAGAAACGAAATTGAAAGCAGGAATCAAAAGGGAAAATAAGAGAGGGTCAGTGCAGCTCTAACACATGGATTGCAGGAAGTCAAGCCGGTGATGCCAAAACAGCCTCCACTTACACAACAAATATGACTCAGCACCTACCACAGGGCAGGCACTGCTAGACAGCGGGAAATCATGGCTAATGACACAGACTAGATTCCTCCCTTGACAAGCTTACAGACAAGTGCAGGGAGAAACAGTAAACAAGAAAAGGAGGTTATTTCAGAATGCTAAGAAGGTGTTTGAGGTCAGGGTGAAAAAACCAGCTCTGCCAAAAGCCCAGGGAAAAGCTATCTTCTTCTTCTTCTTGTTGTTTTACTGCAGTGGTTAGAACTTTGAGGATGAGAGTGAGCATCCCTGCCTTGTTCCCAGCCTGGGAGAAAGCCTTTCATCATTAAGTTGGATGTTAACCATAGGATTTTTGAAGATGCTACTTACCAAGTTGAAAAGTAGTTCCCCTGTATGCCTAGTGTGCTGAGAGCTGAAATCTGTCAAATGCCTTTTCTTTGTCAAATGATATGATTGTATGATTCTTCTTCTTTAGCCTTTTCTTTTCTTTCTTTCTTTTTTTTTTTTTTT